TTGGGTGTGTATGTGGGTAGTTTGTTGTTGTAGATAGAAAACATTTTCAACACAACAATTAACACATTGAAAAATAAAAGTCGTTGTTGTGGCAGGAGCAAATAATACTTATACATATGTATATGAGTCGGTTCATTTGCTTATGTATTATATATTCATGCGTATTATCATGGCCCCCCCCCCCAAACAAATCATGAATGAATATTTGAAACTAAATTTTTTTGTGGCTTACAGGGCAGACTATTTTGAAATTGTAAATAACTAGCCCAATCTCTGATCTGTGTGATTTTATTTATTTATTATTGGAGCGATTTTACACCTTGTAAGCATTGATTTTTTTAATTTAAGTACCATCCTAATATACACATGTATATGTTGCATGCAAGGCAAAGTGAACAGCAACTACTCTACATAAATGTAAAGCTCTATACAGTTTTATTATTTGTCTCCTTAAGAAATTATTATATAAGATGCTAAATTGTTGTATAGAATATTTAACAATACCTACTGGTATACGAACTTAAGAAAAGTTCTTGAAAGCTTTAGCTCGAAACGAATATCTTTAATGCTACCAAGTCTCAGTAAATCAAAATCAGATATAAACCAAAATTAAACTCCAGCTTAGATCAACCCTGATGTCCTTAATGCTATACAATCGTTCTAAAGTGTTTGTATTAAAACTAAATTAAGATACTCTGCAAATAGCTTTTTGCCTATGTCTAATGTAAACCTAATATAGGAACTATTTGTAGTTAGAATTTTCAATAAACCATGATTTCAAGTAACTTTTAAAACATTCTCTTTCTGGCTACCACCGATTTTGAGCAAAGAGAGCCAGACATGGGCAGCAACAAATGAACTCTCTTGTTGAATTTGTTTGTTTTTGACACTCGTGAGCTCACGGACGTATAAAAGCAGAAGGTAAGATATTGCTTATAAGAGAGTTATTTGCCTAGCTCTGATCTACACTCTCTCAGCTGTGTTAAAGAATTTATTCTCAGAATACAACAACTTTATAGATTCTTAAATTCAAAGCTGTTTTCAATTTTGGCTTTTCGTCTCGATTTTTATTTCAGATATAATATAGTCGGACACAATACATCTTTAAGGTTTTAGGTTTATAACTTTTAATTTCATTTTCAAAACTGTTACAAACCTCCTAACAATCTAAGTTTATCCATACAAATTTTGTTAGATGCCAGAAAAGAACAACTGTTGTTCTACACAGACTAAGTGAGTGTTATTGTGGTTTATCCTCAACAGGATTTTTTGGAATTTACTTGGATGAAAATTCATTGTCTATTAGTTGCTTCTGTTTTTTTCGTTCTTTTGACTGCTTCCTTTATACTAAGAATTATTCCTAGAGATTTTTTTGTCTGTTTTATGCCTTAAAGACTAACTTTATTTCCATTCATTTAGTTATTCATTCATACCTCCTCTGTACATAATAAATAGCAAAACACATGCATATATAATTATACACGCGTTCAAGTTAAAGCTGTGCTACTGAACAAGTTAAAGCTACTTAAGTTAAGTACTAAATAACCAGTCGTAAGAAATAAAAAGCTATTACGACAAAGGCCTTTTTAAAAGGCCTACTAAGATCAATTTTAGGTTTTCTATCTTATTGTTAGTAGCTTTTGTAAAACAATTATAACCTACTTATAACAACTTTTATACGATTCATTAGTTCTCATTTGACCTTGAATAAATCCATAGTGAGGCCATCTAGAAACCGTTCTTTGATAAATAAGTGTTAAAGTTCTTGATCGGCAATGACATCATGTTTTAAAACAGGAGTGTTTGGGGGTTTTAAAAAGGCCTTTTAGGAAAAGTACAGCCCTTCTAAAAGACCTTTCTTTATTAGTGGGTATATTTGCGTCTATGTTAATTTATATGCGCATATTAAATTGTGCAGAATATTTACTCATTCATATGAATTGTAATATACATGTGTGAACATACCCTGCATTTCAAAGTGGCAGTCCCGAGCTAATCATATTACGTAAATCTAGCTACAGAATTAGTTATGTAACTAGTTATTCTAAATTATGATTTTGCTATCAAACACTTCGATGGCGAATTAGCTATTAACTACTTTTAAAGCACAAAACTATTCAAACTGATCCCACTTCTCTAGGGACTTGGTAACACTAAAATTACAACCGACTTTTTTAACTCTTTCATGAATCATTTTAGAATTTGATGTCACTACATGCTAAAAGGGATAATATCATGCGATATCCTTGAAAAAAACCTTTTTCCATTTTTCATCAAAAATGATCGATATGCGTCAAAATAAAGTTTGTGGTGAAGTCATATCCATAAAAAGTTCGGTGGTTTAGTTTTGTTCGTGAAAGGGTTAACATTACAAAAAGTATAACTATAGATTCCCTTTAAAATTGTTGGACAAATGGCTGATTTTGTATTTAAGATACAAAGAAGTATGATTTTGCTTCGGTAGTAGTTATAGCAGTAGAGATACATATTTAGTTAAACAATGAATGTGTGCTGCTGGTATTACGAAAAAAAACTTTTTTTCTTTCTTACATACGAGTAAAGTTAAGACAAGTAGTAACTAGTAACTTTTGAGTAACTTCCGTTTTCATTTGTCTAAATTTTTGACATTGTATAGAAAACAAAATCACATACTTTTGTAAAACTTGCTAACAGATTTTCTTACATCTATTCCTTTATTACAATACAAAATTTAAATGTTGCTATTTTTTTTTTGTTGTCACTTTAAAAAACTTTCTTTGATATGCAAAAATTATTCTACGCCATCAACTTTTTCTTACAATTTCTTGTAACTAGATATTATTTCTTTAAAATTTGCACGCGTACGTGCGTCATTTTATAAGAATATCTTCACGTTCGATGCTATGGCTGTTGTCCTCATGTGTGTTTATAAATAACAAAAAAAATTTTATGCAACAGCATGCACACAACTATTTCTTTCGCTATTCATAAAAAAACGTATGTTTTTTAAATATTTTTTCAAGTATTTATTGCAACCTTACCGGGAATGATTATATTTGTAGCGTCAAGAAATGTTGCATTAACATGAAAGAGATTCTTGTATTTGACATTTGCAAATATTTAAATATTATTTTCTTATTATTATTTGTTTTTTGCCTTGTTTAATTTTAAGCGCATTTCAAATGCAGATTGATTTCAAAGGAAAAAATTAAGTTAAATTTAAATAGTTTTTGCGAATTATAACGGCTTGCTTTTGACAAAATGTCAAATACTGTATATGCAGCGGATATAGTTGTTTACGTGTCTTTATTTCATGGGAAATGATGTATTTATAAGCTTAATGTTTTAATTTAATTGAAAATTTAATATTTATTAATAACGAATGTTATTTAAATTGGACCTACTGTTAAGAAATTACAGAATTTACAGATTTATTTTCCCCTTTTTTTCCTTCCACAGTGCCCTGGATTATTTCACCTTCCTGAGTTTGGTTATAAGTTTGTCATTGCTTTTGTAATTTCCACAATATAATTTTCTTTCTATATAAAATATATACATAGATTGTAGACCCTTATAGTGATAGTGGAGTAGATAAACCTATGTCCGTCATTCCGAGCGACTTTCCGTCCATCTGTCTGTTGAAATTAATTTTCTGTAGACCTCATAATTCTATCGAACATCAAAATCGGTGTATAAATAACTGAGATATGATCAAAATTTTGGTTATAAGTAATTTTCCTACTATATAAAACGTGGGTACAATCCCGAACTGCCTATTTCACCCACCACGTAGGGTTACCCATATGACTAGCTATTTTAACGACACTAAAGTGCCGGCTGTCTTTAGATAGAATGTTGGTTTAAAGTCTGATATATCCAAATGCCATATATGTCTGGATTCTCTCTCGGGTGCTGTTGTCATCTCAACAGATGTCAATGGGTGACTTATTCTGGATTCCAGAACCCGTTGAGTATCTCTTACTCTTCGCGTAGTAGGGCGCCAGTATGGGTTGGAGAATTTTCAGGTTGACAGTAGTTGCCTGTCATTCTGTAGATCGTTCTTTATGATCAAAGAATTGAACTGATATAAGTTGTTGAACGATCGTGAAAGACTTCTCTCCCGGTAGGAGACTAGTACTGATTGAGTAAACCATTCTTGGTGCTGTTGCCATCTCAACAGGTCTACCCATTGGATGAAAAAGGCCACCGTGAAATAAGACTGTCAAGGCAGGTGTTCACATTAAGCTGAGACATATAAGACTCGGTACAGCCTAGAGTAGTAAACTTGTTGATTGTAATCAATGTGAGTGATTCCACCAGAAAACTGTCCATAATCTTGTTAGTACCCCTAAGCCTTGTTTGATGCATGTTCAACAACTTTAACTCTTTCTTGATCTCTGGGGTATTGTGATGGATCATTGGTTACAAAAATATGCAAAAGTTGCATCTGATTGTAATTGAACGCAACCAAACACCTTAAATTAAACAAATGACCCGATTCTCCTCAAATATCAATTCAATAAAGAGCAACATTTTAGATTTTTTACAAACTTTGTAAAAACAATCTAAAATTGTTGAAACTTTTATCACTTTCCTTGCAACACTTACAATTACAGAAAAGAAAAAGACATTTAAAAAAAATCTTCTATTATTACAGAAATCTACAGAAAATTAAAATAAAACTACTTGACTACAATTATATGTAATAAAATGGTACAAAAAAAAAAAAAACAGAAACCATTTATTTTACACCATTTAAACTTTGACTTTATGTATTGCATTAAAATTTCATTTAACATCTTTTGGGTTTTTTTAATGTTTTTCCAAACTAAAGCGGCAAAAAATGAAAGAAAAGAAACAAATACTTTCTATGCGCCATGGGTGATTTTTATATTTTCATTTATACAACAGGCTTTAAAACTTCTTTAACTGTCATTTTATATATATATAGATTTCTCAAATGATTTTTTTTGCACCATTTTTCTTATAGTTTTTTTTTTTTCTGTTTCCTTTTATTGCAGCAACAATCTACTAGCGATACAAGCTCAACTTCACGCGATGATAGTACAACAACCACGAATACCAGTAATGATGGCACAAGTCGCAGCAGTCGTAAAAGTGCTGCAAAGTTTTTATTAAGAAAACGTAATACAAAAAAATCTGCAACTAAAGGTAAGTAACACAAATTGAAATAGAAAGAAAAATATCTGGGGAGCATAGAAAAAGTATAATGTGAGCAACTAGAAAACAAATCACCAGTGTTTAAACTAGTGAATGGTAATGCATTGAGTGATAAATTACATGAAATTCATTTATAATAATTCTTTTAACATAAGAATTGTTTTAAATTTTATAGTTGGTCACATTATTTTTGCTTAACAGCCAACCATATTTTACCGGCTTAAATCTAAAACAAATGGCAAAATCATGTCACTTTGGGGGAAAATTTGCACGTAGAAAAACACTTGAAAATCTACTAAAATTCAGATACACACATATACATCTACAGAAATTCCTTGAAATACAAACAAATAACAATCATGTTGTAAGATTTTGTAATAAATTAAAAACTAATTAAAGAAAATTGAGGTTATACGGAATTCATTTTCATTAATTTGCAAATTCTTTCTTTTACTACTAGTTGTGCTTTTTTTTGTTTCCTTCTATATATATTCTTTAATGGTTTTCTAATTAATTACTATTAAAAAAAAAAAAAGATTTTTTTCACAGCAGGAATATAAAAATAGCATAGAAAATGAAACTGTGTGTAGTGTTTAGCAAAAAAAAAAAAAAAACGGTAATTTAATTCTATTTTTATCTTTTGGACTTATTCTAGAATCTAAAGCGTTAAAATCTCAGGACAAAGCTTGTGTCAAATGTGTGGTAGTGGGTGATTGTGCTGTGGGGAAAACAAATTTAATACTCTCTTATCTGGAGAATCGTTTTAATACTGAACATGTGCCTACAGCATCAGATATTTATAATGGTAAGTTATTTTGTTATTCTCATTTTTATTTTTTAATATTAGACCAAAGAAAAATAACAATAACAGCAAATTGCTTTAAATATTAAAATTAAATTATAATTTATGTATAAAGATTTATATTGTTATGTAGAGTATCATTGTGCAAAAAAAAAGAAAAAACTGTAAATGCCGGCATACAAAACAATTATTGTTGATTTCCTTATACCTTCTGCTATATGATTTTATGGATTTTTTTTTTTTTTTTTTTGCACTTCAACTAGTAATATAAGAAACCAATTTGTAACAGTTTTTTTCCCCTAGATTTCTTTGTTTGTTTGCTATATATATGTTGTTGATTGTTAATAGGAAAAGAACTACAAAAAAGCCTACAAAATCATCTAAAAAAAACATATCCTTGTTTCCACCTCTAGCTGACATTCTTTATTTTTATGTTTTACTCCCCATATGTTTTTAAGAGGAACTTTATTCTATTATTCACATTTACTGTGTGTGTATGTATTTTTTTGTTGTTATATAGGATGTGTTGTTTTGTTTCCGTTTTAATTTTTCTGCCTAGTTCTGAATTTTCTTTCTATCCCTACACATGTTTAATTATTGTTGAAGTGGGCTCGTCTCTTATACTAGTAAATGTGTACAGATTTCCCCTTGCTGTATATCATGCCTTAGAGTTTATAGAAAAAGAGTTTACAAAAAAATACAACTCTCTTTTACTCATTTGACTTCCTATTGGTATATTTTTTTCACACATTGATTTTATTCATGACATAAATCCTTGTTAAAAATTTTTAAAAATTGGTTTTTGTTCGAAATGATAAATTGTGAAAAAATCTATTTTTTCTTTTGTCTCCATTAAGATTAATAAATCTATTGAATTTTTTAAGGGAATGATCTCTATAAGGGCAGTAGTATGGTAACGGGTAGCATTTTATAAAGGGGATATTTTTTAGGAAAACTCAAAATCAATATCAACCAATGATCAATAAATAATCTTTATCCACTATAGTGGAGAGGGTATTATGCGTTTGAGCTGATGCTTGTAACACCCAAAATTGTTGGTCCTACACCCACCAAACTGGTCCGAATCACTTTCTGAGTCGATTTAGCTATGTCCGTCCGTACGCCTGTCTGTCTGTCCGCCTGTGTGTCCATGTTAACCTTGTGCGCACTCTACAGGTCGCAATTTTCGAGATAATCTGATGAAATTTGAACCAAGGACGAAGTCTATTGAAAATGGTTATAATCGGCCTATTATTTCGTATAGCCCCCATACAACCGTACCCCGTCGAATAAGGATTTTGAGCTCATAAATATCTTAAAAGTTCTTGTATCATTTCAAACATCGACAAAACTTAGTTTTGTATAAGTCTTAATTATACTGCTGATTTTTGGTGTCTAATACCTAAAAAGTGTTTTAGGTAGTAGGCACCAAAAACCTGATATATTGGAAAAATTCTGAGTCCAATTTTTCAATATCTGAGTTTAGACTATTTTCAAAATTTGTTGGGCTGTGTAGTCTTCGATAACCTGAATAATCCGCCAATATTAACTTTCAGTTCTTCATTTTAAATGCTTTACTAAAACTTTTGTTAAAAAACAGTTTAAATTTCCAATAAAATGAAATATAGTATAAAACGCCACTGGCATACATACATACACAGTTTATCATGCAATAACTTTTCAATTTCTCACTTGTGCAAGTGACTGAATTATGATGTGCTTTAACATATTAACTACAGTTCACTTTAATTTTTCACCGCACTATAGTAATCTGTAGTATATGCATGTAAGGTCATACTACAATGGAATGGGTTGCAAATAAGGGCTATTAGGTCATTTAGAGCTATACAATATGCATAAATTTAAAACAGGCACAAACAAGTAATATGTACATAAAAAAAAAACTCATGACCTCAAAAGTAACCAAGTGAAACAAGGAGGCCTCCTAGTAAATAAAAAGTTAACTAAAAAGTTTATAGCTAGAAAATAAATACCATTTTTTTTAACAAATAAGGAATGTATGATTTAAAATTATACAATATTTTAATTGCATAAAGTTTCCCTATAAATAATACTATTTGCAAAAAATATTTCATTTTCCGTTTCCTGTTTTATTAAAAAAAAAAACAACTTCAATAAACATAATTTCCTGCTAATTTGTAGTATAACAACACTTTGCATATTTATACGATTTTCCATGTAATTGTCTGTGTTTTTTTTTTTTTTTTTTTTAAACTCACATATGACAAATATTGACATGTGCTTTTAAATTTGTCCCTTCTCTATAATTTCCAACAGTTTGTTTACCTCTTTCTCTATATATCTTTACATACTAGAACGTGTTTATTTTATTTGATTCTAATTAGTGCAAAAATCACAGTTAAATTTAAAATTCAACCACTCATGAACAAAAAAAATAAAGTTAATCAGCTTGTAACGTTGTATGTGTAAATTTGTTAATAGGTGTGAGTTCACATAGCCCAGTAAACATAAGGTTAAATGGTTAAAAATGACAAATGTAATTTCAAATATACATATAAGTATATCATCAAATCTATAATGAAGATTGAAAGGGAAGATACCCTCTCAGTATTCAGAAAGTTCAATTGTTATTATCACATTATTACAAAACTTATGAGAAAAGCTTTAAATAAGATAGCATCAAATATTTCAGAAAGTTTGAAAGGGAAGTAAGCTTTCTTGATGTTATCAAAACATTATAAGTTCAGACAAACACTAAGTCAAAGTGATTTGATATAATATCCAAATTGACACACCTACATAACACTTGAAAAGCTGTCCTTAGCTGTTCCTGTTTATATTTGAGAATCACATTTGAGAAAATAGTTATTCTTAACTTATGCTCAAAGTTTAATCAAAAGTTTGACATTTGACCCTAATGTTTGTTGGGATCATACGTAGAGCTGTACTATGTACATACATATGTATGTTTGTATGTATGTCTTACTAAAAAAACGTACATATTCTCTCATACTTTTATTTAGTTTTGTTTAAGCTGCTTAACCACTTAAAACATTTTAACACTTAAATGCACTTGAATGTCTGCCACTTTAATAATAAAACTAATTGAAACTTTTATTTTTTCTATATGTCAGTCTCTCTCTCTCTCTCTCTTTCATACTTTACTTTAAATGCTGTTTCAACAAATTTTAGTTGTCAGTTGGGTTTTTCTTTTTATTTTTTTTTTTTTTGCGAATGTAAAGTTACAATGACTTTTTATGCGGTTAATTATCAATGTTTTGTATTTTCTTTATTAAATTTGATGGGAAAATTTTAACAAACTCTTGCAATATGTACTTAAATTTAATATAACAACTGTTGATTTGTAGGAATATAGTTAAGAGAAAATTTCACTCCCCTTCTAGGACATTTTCACAGGTCTGATGTATATAAAGGTTTTGAACTTGAATCGGGCCCTATGAACACAGTTTTATGATCTGAAGTTAATTATAAACAAATTTTTTTAACAATATATTTATATTCAATTAGTTGATAATTAACCTCGCTTAATAATTAAATTCCCAATAATTTAAATATAAATTTAAGTAAAATCACCCACCTCGCTCTCGTTAGCTTATAATTTATACAATATACTATGTCATGGATTAACCACCTTTCAAAAAAGACGTTGTAACTGTAAAATAAACAATATACATTTAATTATTTCACTATTTTGCATATTCACTCATACGTAAGTGTAAGTATGTAATGTATCTATGTGAACAAATTACACTGTAACTATATTGTGACCTTCAGCATCATTATATGCTCAACTAACATCATTATAATGAAATTAATAATGCAACAATACTTTTTATTCGTTCTTTGTGGCTCATACAGCAGTAGCAACAATTCACAAGTTGCCTCTGAACAAAATGTGGAATAATATACAATATTTGATACGTTACCATTATACTAAATATGTATTATATATACATACAACATCAATACACCTACCCATACTTATGTATTTACTACATTTTGTAAAATTACCTTTGGAAATCTTTCATATTCATGTACACTAGTGGTATACCAAAAAATGAGTTTCTGAATTTTGTCATTCAATTAAAAACGGTTGCTCGTTTTGCTTTGAAAAGCTTTTTAACAAACAGGCTCAAATTACGGTGTACACTACCAGTAAGATTCTAGATATTTGTTTTCGATCCCAGAAAATGTACTCGGATGATCGGCTAGGAATCAATTCAAACATTCTTATCGTGTTGATATTTTTCACATTCTTGGAAGGTGACAAACTTTTAATCCATTTCCAAAAAGAGAGGCTCCTCAAACCCTAATTACTGCCGCGCAATTTCAGTTTATATAAAGTTGTGAAGAACATTATTAACTATCTAGAGTTGAACAAACTTCTTGATGAAAGACGAAACGGGGTTTGCACTAGTCCTTCTACCAGCAACAAAATTGCATCTTTCTTCGACCTGTGGGACCCCGGAATTCATAACATAGTAATTGGTTGTTTGGCAAAGGTAATAGTTCACTGCATACAAATATTTAAGTTGAGTAGAAAGTTCTCCTTTTTGACAAGACCCCACTACTCTTTAGATCTATAGTCAGGTATTTTCACGGAAAGAGTCTGAAGTAGAAAGGATAAATTAATTTTAACTTAGCGCATAATAAAAACTCAATAAAAAGTCTTAGTTATGTCAATACAACAGCTCAAAAAAAAGGTGCAATTTGGTCACTAATAGAACGACTTCCGATGCGTAAGATGTTCATTCAGCTGTAGGTAGCTAAACAAGTGGTAGTTAAGAATGCTCTGCAAAACATTAAATAAACTGCAAATGGCTGGTAGAAAGTAGAATATGAGGAGCCCCTCTGCATATTGGTTAAACGTTTGTCACTTTCTTAAGCACTTTAAGAATGTTTCAGTCGATTCCTTGAAACTTGAAGGTAGAACGACTAGTGCAAAACCCGTTTCGTCTCTCATTAAGAAGTTTGTTCAACTCTAGATAGTTAAGAATGTTCTTCATAACTTTATATAAACTGAAATTGGGCAACAGTAATTAGGGTTTGAGGAGCCTCTCTTTTTGCAAATTGGTTAAACGTTTGCACTTTCCACAGATCTATGGTTTATGTTCTTTCTCTATCTTTTTTTTTTCAATATTTATGGCAATAATATCTTTTATAATCATTTGACTATAAACCAGACTCTCTAGATTTGATTTGGTTGACCGCGAATTAATGATGATAACCGCAACTGCAACATGACACATGTTTGACATTGAAATGGATACTTTTAGATCACTAGGCCTTTTGAGACGTTATAAATCCTATTTTATCTGTTGAGAATCGAACCTACAAACTTCTTACCGACAGACTAAAATACTTCCAACTAACCTTCGGGGGCACCCCGTTTCTGATCTACTTCGTATATATGTATGTACCTTACCCATATCTGACCTAAGATGAAACAATTTCCTCGCGTGAGCTGGATCATAAAATCTATTCTTGGATGGCTTGAGGGGTTTAAAAAAAAAACGCTGCTGGTTTTTATTACATACAAAATTATTAACACATTTATTAATTCGGATATTGATCATGAGAAAGCAACTCTATATGCAGATATTGAACTTTAACTCTCGACATAAGAATCTACGTAGATTACATGCTTTCGTTAAAAAAATCTATGACATGTGATATTATTACTATCCACACAATTCTGGATCATCCTAATTTAATATTATATATATATTTCTTGTTTCTTAGACCAATTTAAATAATATAATTTTAAATAATAATTGTTAACAAGAATTGTAAATTACAATAATGTATTTATACTTATTATGTTAACATTTACTACTAGGCTCATTTACTACTAGACTGACATAACTCAAAAAAAAAAATCGTTTTATGATATATGAAAAATAAAACGAGATTTATGTAGTAGAGTTTAAGGACGTTTTCATCCATATCTAAATTACATTTTTGCTTATTTAAGTTTAATTGCAAAAATATCATTAGTTTATAAACATACATAATACAATCTCTTATATTCTTACTAATTTTAAATATACATATTTTTTTAAATTTTATGGAAAAAGTTTTTGCTATAAAACCTTTCTTTGCCAAGCTGCGATGTTCCCTATTTTCCTATTTATAGACAATTTAAGAAAATCTTTTATTATTTGTATTAAAGCCGCAGTTAGATTATTACATTGTTAGCGTAGTTGTTTCTGTTGATTGACATGATATTTTCGGTTCAAATATATATTGTATGTATATAAAATCGTTGCCAAGAAACGTTTTTCTTAGTCTTTTTAAGAAAAAAAAAATATTGTTATTTTAATAATAATCATCAATCACAATTTTCTTAGAAATAATTTTAATATATATTTTCAATGAGAATACCGACATATTTCTTGTGTTTATATTGAATATTAAGTATTTGATGAGAGAAAAAATAATTTTCTTTGTGCAGACTTCAAATATGGGAGATTAACTTGAGAGACTTTTATTTTAAAAATTACGATCTAATTCCGATTCCCGAAACATTTTATCAAACATTTTTTTAATATTTCTTATAAATGAGATATCTACACTTTAGATTACATAGGTATAAAATAGTGACCATTGACTCCATATTAGATTACCTGTAATGTATAGAGTAATTAATTGACCTAAAAAGAAACTGTTAAGGACATTTTTTTTTAATTTTTATTTGCATAAGATTAATGTAAAATTTAAATATGAAATGTACTTTTTTCTCAACCCTATATATTTATCGAATAAGTTTTTTATTCCTACACGAATAAAAAATATCCGTTTCCTACACACTTGTACATACTAACTCAAACATAAATCTGTTAATAACATTATTGATTGATGATATAAAAATATTTCATTGAAATCAACTTTTTTTTTTGAAGTATTAATGGATAATATTTTGATTTTATAGACTTTTTATTTAGGAATGTTGAATAATGTTAAATATTTAACATTTATAAAGATCAAGTGCGCTGAGTGTTATGGTGTTAACGAGAAGTTGAGAAAATTTGTTTCAAATCAAATACTCTTGACAAATTCCACGTAAAAATCTGTAATAAAAAAAAAGAAAATTTTTCACAGGAATTATGGCTATTATTAGGAATAAATGTACAAAAGTAAAATTTCTAAAATAACGAAATACTTTGGGAAATATACAATTATTTATAAGCTAAATCAGGAAGACTTAAAAGATTCTAACTGCTGTATTTATTATATTTAACGATTTTAAGGTAATTGCAATGAAGTCCTAAATGTGTCTAAGAACTTTGAAGTATTTCTTGTGAAAGGAGTTCATGTAAGATTGTATGAACTTTTAGACAAATACTCGTGAGTTTTAGTAAAATATTTGTATCACCAAGTTATAAGTTTAAAATGAAGGCATTACCAAACTACTTCTATGTAATGTAAATGGTATATGTGTGTAGTTGTTAATATTAATTATTATGTCTTTGCTGGGTTATTTAAAGAATTGAATACTGTTTTTATTTACTTGTATCTCAATATAAAAATATCCTTGTTAAGTAAACAAAAGTTTTACACATGTGTATGTAAATTTATTTATAGCTATAAAACTATAAAAAAAATAAAACCTTGATATCAACTTTATTTCTTTGTATTCAAAAAAAAAAAATATATCCTTTGATTAAGGCTTATGTTTGTTCAAGGAAGAAAATGAAAATATTTATATATTAAATTCTTTATATCTTCTTATCTCACCTCCCCCCGCCATCAGCTGATGTTATGGTCAACGATAGTCCCGTACATTTAACACTCTGTGATACAGCCGGTCAGGATACATTGGATCCATTACGTGAGCTTTGCTACCCAGATAGTGATGTATTCCTGTTGTGTTTTTCGGTGGCAAAACCAGAAACATTCCATGCCATCAAAACCAAATGGGCACCAAGATTTTCGAATACAAAAGCATCATTGATTTTGGTTGGTACTCAAGCTGATTTGCGCACAAATCCGAATGTACTGAATAAATTGCAGGTAAGAAAGGCAAACGACTCCTATAACATTTATAGATTGGGGGAACAAATCCTCACAATTTTTTTTTAGTAAATAATTACATACATACATATATGTGTGTGTATATGTGTTCATATGATGAGCTTGTAGAAACATAAACTGTCATGAATGTTTTCTCTTCACACCATCAATTTTGTCTTTTTTCTCCCTTTTTGTTTTATTATTTTTGCTAAAGGGAAAAGCATAAATTTTGTTCACTTTTTTTTGTTGTTAAACTGAAATATTTATTTATTTTTTCGTTTTTTTTTTCTTCCTTTTACTTTATTTTCATTTATTGTGGGGTTTTTCTGTTTACCTTTGACTTGACGGGTGTTGGCTCGATGATGTGTTAATACCTTCTCACATTTTTTTGGATCTTGTTTTTGCGCTTGACTAGTCTAATGGCGAACAACCAATTTCATATGCGGATGCTTGGGATTTGGCAACAACAATTGGTGCAAAATACATTGAAACTTCATCAGCAACACAGGTAAGTGCTTTATTCTTCCCTCTCACCTTCTTCGACTGTTATTTTCTGTGCATTAGTGTTTGTATTTGTATTACAAATTATTATTATTGTTGTGTTAAAGTGATTTGTACAAACATTTTAAAGCCTATATTTGGGCGCTTATGTATGATTGTAAGGATTTAGGGATTAAATTTTAAAGGGGAATACATTTTGAGGAATTTAAGTTTTTTTAAAGAGAAAAAATATGTAATTTTTTGAGTTTGTATGAAAAAGATAAAAAATGCAATACTCTTTAGTTGCGATTTTGTAAAGCCAAAATTAGCATAAACCGATTAAAACTAGAGGTTACGACTTGGGCGATGCTGGAGTTGCGAGGTTTCTGAACTAAAGATCTTTATGGCCTCTTCTTTCAGTCGTTCAGACCTCTGTTTCTAGACTTTTATTCTTGCGATTAGTAAGTATTAGTGTGACTGAGATTCTGTGATAAAAAGAGGGATCACACACTCTCTTCAAAGTTTGAAAATTGAATTCTATCTTTGCATTAGGGTAAGCATTGCCAACAGCTTTCATATATTTTGTAAAAACGACCAATGAATCCTCTATGTTAAAAACACATGGTTTTAACATAGAGGACTCACTTCTGACTCGATTGATTGAATCTGTTTTTAATGGGAACATAGACCTCTGCACTGTAATAAAATTAGATTATAAATATTATTGAAAATATCAAATTTTTCTTAAGTGTGAAATGTATTTTTAGATAATAATACACAAATTTTCCATATTTCATTAATTTCATCTACATATGTATGTATTAAAAAATCCTAAGTAAATATTTATTTTACCTTAAATCATACTTCTATTTAAAAAAAAAGTAAAAAAAAAGTTTTATAATTTTTTATTTTCAACACATACTTTGTCTAAATATCCTTTTAAATTCTACTTCCTGTAATTTAATGCTTTATAATAATATTTAAGTGCAAAAAGTTTCATCTACGACAAAATATACACATATACGTATACACATATTTCACTTAACTTACAACAGATTTTTGTTTAGAATACTTACTGAGACATAAAAATACATACATGTAAATTTTACACAATATAACATATACATGCAAACCAGCACTTACTTTCATACAAATGTATATATTTTTTCAAATAAAATTCAAACACAAAGTTAAATTTCCTTAGGGATCTAAACACTACAGAACGACACCAACGCGACCAAAACGCGTTTTGTTATTTTGGAATAAAAAAAAAAGAAGAATTTACGTGCACACAAATGTTATTTTCAAATAAACATTAAAATCCTTCTGATACCTTCTTTGACAACATTTAGGATGGGCGTGTGTGTGTAAACGAATACATGTGTATGAAAATTTAATACAAGTAACCACAAATTACATGCTTTCTACGTGAACGTACAACAAGGTGTATGAGTTTTATGTTAAAAGGTGGTAAAAATGCAGAAGTTTTTCTACACAAAACATGATGATGGTTACATAAAAAAGTGTAAAAAAAGAAATAAAAAACTTTTAACTCAAGAAACAATAACAAGCAACCAACAATTGTCGTCGTCCTTTTTCTAAATCTTTTTTGCTTTTCACATTTAAAGTATGTCTGAATCTCGTTAAACGTATATACAATTTATGCTTTTTTCTCCGCACAACAACAGTAATAATAAAGTAAAAAAATAACAACAATTTGTAGGATTTGTAAAAGTTAAGCATTTTAACTGGAATGTAATGTATGTTTAAATTTATTTCATCTGGGATGCATGATTAAGATTTAGAGAGGAAACATGCTGTTTTGAATCATTGAATTTCAGTACCTACAGGATTTCGCGTAATTTTGCTTTAAAAACAAGTTATGAAACTTTTATATAAAACATATGAGAGACAGTTTTTTTGAACAACTCAAAAGAGCATTATATTTGGAAAAATTTTTAATGGAATTAAAACAAATGTTGTCCAAACTATTGTATCTTCATTTGAAATTGAAGTTCCATTAATATCGAAACATTTTTCAGTTGATAAAGCTTTTTCTAAATAGAATAGACTACTATAGAACTATAGAATAGCCTATAGCCTATAGGCTAGACTATAGACTAGTCTATAGACTGGACTATAGACTAGTCTATAGACTAGACTATAGACTAGTCTATAGACTAGACTATAGACTAGACTATCGACTAGACTATAGACTAGACTATAGACTAGACTATAGACTAGACTATAGACTAGACTATAGACTAGACTATAGACTAGACTATAGACTAGACTATAGACTAGACTATAGACTAGACTATAGACTAGACTATAGACTAGACTATAGACTAGACTATAGACTAGACTATAGACTAGACTATAGACTAGACTATAGACTAGACTATAGACTAGACTATAGACTAGACTATAGACTAGACTATAGACTAGACTATAGACTAGACTATAGACTAGACTATAGACTAGACTATAGACTAGACTATAGACTAGACTATAGACTAGACTATAGACTAGACTATAGACTAGACTATAGACTAGACTATAGACTAGACTATAGACTAGACTATAGACTAGACTATAGACTAGACTATAGACTAGACTATAGACTAGACTATAGACTAGACTATAGACTAGACTATAGACTAGACTATAGACTAGACTATAGACTAGACTATAGACTAGACTATAGACTAGACTATAGACTAGACTATAGACTAGACTATAGACTAGACTATAGACTAGCTATAGACTAGACTATAGACTAGACTATAGACTAGACTATAGACTAGACTATAGACTAGACTATAGACTAGACTATAGACTAGACTATAGACTAGACTATAGACTAGACTATAGACTAGACTATAGACTAGACTAGAGACTAGACTATAGACTAGACTATAGACTAGACTATAGACTAGACTATAGACTAGACTAGAGACTAGACTAGAGACTAGACTATAGACTAGACTATAGACTAGACTATAGACTAGACTATAGACTAGACTATAGACTAGACTAGACTAGACTAGACTATAGACTAGACTATAGACTAGACTATAGACTAGACTATAGACTAGAGACTAGACTATAGACTAGACTATAGACTAGACTAGAGACTAGACTATATACTAGACTATAGACTAGACTATAGACTAGACTATAGACTAGACTATAGACTAGACTACAGACTAGACTATATACTAGACTATAGACTAGACTATAGACTAGACTATAGACTAGACTATAGACTAGACTATAGACTAGACTATAGACTAGACTATAGACTAGACTATAGACTAGACTATAGGCTAGACTATAGACTAGACTATAGGCTAGACTATAGACTAGACTATAGACTAGACTATAGAATAGACTATAGAATAGACTACAGACTAGACTATAGACTAGACTATAGACTAGACTATAGACTAGACTATAGGCTAGACTATAGGCTAGACTACAGACTAGACTTTAGACTAGACTATAGACTAGACTACAGACTAGACTACAGACTAGACTATAGACTAGACTATAGACTAGAATATAGACTAGACTATAGACTAGAATATAGACTAGACTATAGGCTATAGACTAGACTATAGACTAGACTATAGACTAGACTATAGACTAGACTATAGACTAGACTAGAGACTAGACTATAGACTAGACTATAGACTAGACTATAGACTAGACTATAGACTAGACTATAGACTAGACTAGAGACTAGACTATAGACTAGACTATAGACTAGACTAGAGACTAGACTATAGACTAGACTATAGACTAGACTAGAGACTAGACTATATACTAGACTATAGACTAGACTATAGACTAGACTATAGACTAGACTATAGACTAGACTATAGACTAGACTACAGACTAGACTATAGACTGGACTATAGACTAGACTATAGACTAGACTATAGACTGGACTATAGACTAGACTATAGACTAGACTATAGACTAGACTATAGACTACTATAGACTAGACTATAGACTAGACTATAGACTAGACTATAGACTAGACTATAGACTAGACTATAGACTAGACTATAGACTAGACTATAGACTAGACTAGACTATAGACTAGACTATAGACTAGACTATAGGCTAGACTATAGACTAGACTATAGACTAGACTATAGAATAGACTATAGAATAGACTACAGACTAGACTATAGACTAGACTATAGACTAGACTATAGACTAGACTATAGACTAGACTATAGGCTAGACTATAGGCTAGACTACAGACTAGACTATAGACTAGACTTTAGACTAGACTATAGACTAGACTACAGACTAGACTATAAACTAGACTATAGACTAGACTACAGACTAGACTACAGGCTAGACTATAGACTAGACTATAGACTAGACTATAGACTAGACTATTGACTAGACTATAGACTAGACTATAGACTAGACTATTGACTAGACTATAGACTAGACTATAGACTAGACTATAGACTAGACTATAGACTAGACTATAAACTAGACTATAGACCAGACTATAAACTAGACTATAAACTAGACTATAGACTAGACTAGAGACTAGACTACAGACTAGACTATAGACTAGACTATAGACTAGAATATAGACTACACTATAGACTAGAATATAGACTAGACTATAGGCTAGACTATAGACTAGACTATAGACTAGACTATAGACTAGACTATAGACTAGACTATAGACTAGACTATAGACTAGACTATAGACTAGACTATAGACTAGACTATACACTAGACTACAGACTAGACTACAGACTAGACTATAGACTAGACTACAGACTGGACTATAGACTAGACTATAGACTAGACTATAGACTAGACTATAGACTAGACTATAGACTAGACTATAGACTAGACTATAGACTAGACTATAGACAAGAATATAGACTAGACTATAGACTAGACTAGACTATAGACTAGATTATAGACTAGACTATAGACTAGACTATAGACTAGACTATAGACTAGACTATAGACTAGACTATAGACTAG